GCAGCCACTGCACTCCAGTCTGGGCGACAGAGTGAGACTCCAACTCAAAAAATAAAAAAAATAATGAAAAAGATGGCCGGGTGCGGTGACGCAAACCTGTCATCCTAGCACTTTGGGGGGCCAAGGCGAGAGGATTACCTGAGCCCAAGGATTTGAGACCAGCCTAGGCAACATGGCAAGACCTCGTCTCTACAATAAATACAACTAAAAGTAAAAGAAATTAGCCAGGTGTGGTAGCACACCCTCATAGTTCCAGCTACTTGGAAAGCTGAGGCAGAAGGATGGCCTGAGCACAGCAGGTCGAGGCTGCTATGCCTGTGAGTGTACCACTGCACCCCAGCGTGGGCAACGGAGTGAGACTCCAACTCAAAAATGAAAGAGAGAGAGAGAGAGAAAGAGAGAGAGAGAAAGGGAAAAGAAAGAGACATAACAGTAAGATAGTAAGAAGTTCTTATCAACCATTTATCTGATATCCATACCCTTCCATCCGTGCTCCCCACACAAACTGCACCAGGAAAGTTCCAGAACAAGTAACATTTCACAGAAGTATTAAAAATAGAGGAGCACATGGGTACATCTTGTCCAGTGTCCTATTGCCAAAAAAAAAAAAGGAATACCTGTATATGAAGAGAAAAACTTACTTGCAGTATCCTGTGCCATTGTGGTAGGCAACACATACTCCTTCATTCACGCAGGGTTCAAAGCCATCCCGACACTGCAATGCTAAAAATAAAAATAAATGCACATTAGAATTGTGATCATAACCCTCAGGCACCAAAGAAGTGTGATCCAATTCAGATCAATATTCCCTCCCATATTCAACCTGATCTGGGTTTCCCTTTAGAGTTTTAATCAGTTCTTCATCTTTTGGTTTCTAGCACATAATCTTACCCCAAAAGCCTCGTCCCATAACAACTACTTTTATGGTCTTGAATGATGCTCTTACGTACCTGTGATTCAATATCCCCAAGTATAACATTATATCTCCCCATGACAGTAAGAAATTTAAAGCTATGACATCTATGAAATGCCAGATCATCTTGGGACTTAGATACTGCAGATGAGTAATGTAAGATTTGCCTATGAATATTTAGGAAGATGTTAGACAGATACTAGGTCATGATATCATTTAATTTCTTAGCCTTCAGATGAAGTTTTAAAACAGGTCATTTCAAGAAGTAATCAGAAACCTCAACAATATTCATTCAATAAACAAAAATTGAGAGCCTATGTACAGGCACCATATTAGGATCCAGAAAAAAAAGGTATGGGGTATACAGATAAATAAATAAATAATAACCTCTAACTTTAAGGGGCTTACAAAAAGTTATGAATAGCAATTGTGGGGAGGAGTGTCAAAATAAATAATAGGAGAACATTTTATACATGCAGATAAAACATTCTCAAACTCCTGATTCCCCCAGTTCCTTTGAGAGACAATGGAAAGGCACTTCACCCTCTGAGTCTGTGCCAAACATAGACTGCTTACTACTGAGAGAAAAAGAAAAACAAAACAAAACAGCAATAGGAGACTTCAATCAGAAGAGGAAGAAGACTACCCAAAATCTACCGTTCACTTGCTGGATAGTTACAGTATCTTGACGGTTTGTTTGGCTTTGAGAGTTGGAATTTTCTTCACCAGAATACAAATCAAGAATCCGAACGGCTGAAACGCCAAGACAACAAGAAACAATCAAAATCAAAATCGAAGTTCAGGTACTCTTTCTTGGAGGCTATTAAGATGTCCATCTCCTAGAATGGTTCATGTATGAATGAATACCTGAAAGCAAAACTGAGAGGTTCCCACCTTCAGGCTTCCTCTAACCACACCACTCTATGTACAAACTGTGCAATATCGGAGGTTCTAGGCTTGTCCCTATCTGGCCTTAAAACCAGCAGCTCAGGCATAAGCGGGATGCCAGAGCCATTCCTCCACTGACAATTACTACACGACAGCCTTTACTTGTCTAGGACTGTATAAAATAGCAGAATCCTTTGAGAACACATTTAAAGAAATCTCATCTCATCCTTATAATAATAATTACGATTATTATTTTTTTTTTTGAGTTGGGGTCTCACTCTGTCGCCCAGACTGGAGTGCGGTGGCCTCGACCTGCTGGGCTCCAGGGATCCTTCTGCCTCAGCCTTCCACATAGCTGGAATTTAATAACGATAGCAGCTAACACATGGCACTTACTAAATACCAAGTACTGTCCTAAGCACTTGACACAGATTAGCTAACTAATTCATTTTTCACAACAACCCTATGAAACAGTCATTACATCCATTTCATTACATCCATTCCCAAGTAAGAGCACGGGGGGGATAAGTGGGCTGCCTTTTGACATATCAGTGAGTTAGAGAGCCAAAATTTGAATCCAGAGACTGTGTTCTTAACGGCCGAGATGCACTGCTTCCCATTACCTGATACTTTTAGGAATGGGCAGGGTAGGTTTTACTATACCCATTTACCAGAAAGTTAAGGCCAGGGAGGTTGAGAGGTCTCTTCATGGGGCATCATGCCACTAGCTGGTGGCAATGGCAGGCCTAGAACCCAGGTCTCCTACTAAGTCCCACCCATCTTCATGGCAGCTGCGGGGCTCACACAAGCAATCACAGGCAGATTCAGGAAGAGGGTCATCTTGTTGTCCATATCCCACTTCCCTGTAAGACTCAAATGCTCCCTCTTCCCACACTGATAAGGCCAATGCAGCAACTATAATTAAAACAGTTAATGTCAGGTTATTTCCTCCATACCAAAGTTCTCAAACTGATTTTTTCATTCTCTTTAGACATTTTTATTAGTTTCAGTGAGAACTTCCTGGCTTTTTCTACTTGATTTTTTTCTTTAAATTAAAAAAAATTATTTTTAACCCTCTCAGTAGTAAAGGAATGCACTGCAGGCATGGAACAAGCTGGAGCTCTGTCCCCTGCAAGAATGCTGGTGCAATGAAAGGAGTCAGGAGACCTGAAATCCTACCTCTAACCCTAACTAGTTGTGCAACTGCAAGCAAAGCACAACCTCATGGGGGCTCAATTTCCCTACCTATACACCAAGCTGAGTTTGGACTAAATGCCCTGAATGTCCCCCTGAGATACAACAGTGACAGCTCCCTCATTAAAAGTACATGAATGGTGTGCCCAGTACCTGGAGTAATCTATCTAGGAGGGCATAAAGACCCAGCCACCCATGACTCAGAAAGCCGTGGGTGGGAAAAAAAATGGCCTGTTCCTATTAAGAGTCCTGGCAAATCATTACAGTGACAGGTTTAGAGAATACAAACAACCCAAAGTCAATATGTGGCAATCAATCTAGCAAATCACTTTACTGACTAGTCTTAGTGAACCAATCAAATTCAGAGATCAAAAATAAGGTGGGCTTACCAGGCTAATAATTAATGCCATTTGGCTGATTTGTGAGATCATGCTACCTTGAACCTTTAACATTTACCAAGCCATGGTTCTCAAACTTTAGTAAGCATCAAATCACCTGGAGAGCTCATTAAAACACAGAGTGTTGGACTCAATCCCCACAATTTCCGACTGGGTAGGTTCAGAGTGTGTCTGAGAGTCTGCATTCCTAACAAGTTCCTAAGTGGTGCTGATTCTAAGATCGAGAACCACTCTTTGTAAGGCATGTGTGTTCACTTGTTACAATTCCCTAAAACTATATAATCCACTAGACGTCTTAGATGATCTAGATCAGTGGTACCCAATTTTTCTGGCTTCAGGAACCAGTTTTGTGGAAGACAATTTTTCCATGGACAGGGGTGGGGATGTGGGGGTGGGGTTTTGGGATGATTCAAGCTCACCACACTTATTGTGCACTTTATTTCCTTATATATTACGTTGCAGTATATAATGAAATAATTATACAACTCACCATAATGCAGAATCAGTGGGAGCCCTGGGCTTGTTTTCCTGCTACTAAATGATTCCATCTGAGGGTAATAGGAGACTGCATAGCATCGCTCTCTCAGCTCTGCCTGCTGTCAGATCAACGGTGGCATTAGATTCTCATAAAGAGCACTCAACCTGGGTCCCTCACATGCACCATTCACAACAGGGTTCGCACTCCTGTGAGAGCCTAATGCCACCCCTGATCTGACAGAAGGCGGTGCTCGTGTGGTAATGCAAGCAATGGGGAGAGGCTGTAAATATAGACGAAGTTTCACTCCCAAGCCGGCCAACCACCTCCTGCTGTGCAGCCCAGTTCCTAACGGCCACAGACTGGCACCAGTGTTGTGGCCCAGAGGCTAGGGACCCCTGATCGAGATGATAATACCTAAATACACAGGAAGTGGAGAAAAGGGAACCCTTGTACTGTTGGCGGGAATGTAAATTAATATAGTCACTATGGAAAACAGTATGGGGGTTCCTCAAAAAAACGAAAAATAGAACTGCCATATTATCCAGCAATCGCACGTCTGGGTATTTATCCAAAAGATTTGAAATCAGTGTTGAAAAGATGTCTGTACCCTCATGTTTATTACAGCACTATTAATAATAGCCAAATTATTCAACCAATCTAAATGTCCATCAACAGATGAATAGATAAAGAAAATGCAGTAGATAGATAGATAGATATAGATATACACACACACGGGAATACTATTTCGTCTTTAAAGAAAATTCTGTCATTTACAACAACATAGATAGAATTGGAGAACATTATGATAAGTGAAATAAGTCAGGGACAAAGATGGGACGTTCTCACCTCTATGTGGCATCTAAAACAATCAGACTCACAGAAGCAGAGAGTGGAATGGAGGTTAGTTACAAAGGCTGGAGGGCAGGGGAGTGGGGAGACGATGGTCAACAAGTATAAAGTCTCAGTTAGACAGGAGGGATTTTTTTCCTACTTTTGAGATCTGCACAGCATGGTGAATATAATTAATAATAGACTATTGTACATTTCAAAATTACTAAGAGGATAAGCTTCAGATGTTCTTACCACAAAATATGTTAAGAATCTGAATTGAAGACTATATTGACTAGCTTGATTTAATTACTTCACATTATATTCATAATTATTTCACTTTTTACCCGACAAATGTCTACATTATAAATTGTAGATTACAACTTTGAAAAAGAAAAATAAAGTAAAAATTTGAGACTCATGGCTTCATGTAGGGGCTATTTCTAAATAAATACTGTAATTATCTGCCATACAAAGAGAAATTAAAACTTTGATAACCTGAAATCATGACAGTATCTAATTTCAAAATTATATTTACTTTTTTTCCAGCGCAAAACATTTAAATTTAACAATGAAATTGAAGGCAGCTTCATGGTAAAGCAAACACTAAATCATAACAGTTAGAGAACTAATGCTTAAATTCAAGCTTCAATAAACTCTGAGAAACTAGTCCTTCACAAAGAGTGACTTTCCCCCCTGTTTTCATGTTAAGCCACAAAGAGCAGGCACTCAATAAATACTGGTTGACTAAAATCAACCTTATTTACTGTGTATGTATCTGTTTGTACAAGCCCTCCCCTCCTGCTACCAAAAAAAGCAAAAACAGATTAATAGTAGATTTCAATCTCATCACTCCATCACTTGGCAATGTGACACAAAATCTAGAAGCCAGTCTCCAATTTTCACACATTCTCAGCACAGTGCACTTAGGAACTACGTTTTTAATATCCAGAACACACACAGAAAGCATCTACTATGGGCAGGCTAGCGGAATAAAGTCGCTGTCCTCATAAACCTTATTTCTATTACAGAAAGGTAAAAAAATAGTAAATCATTTCAGAGAGTCGTAAGTGACAAATTCTGTTGGAAACAAGACCCAGGAATGGGATACAAAGCAATCACGAAGGCTGGAATGCAGGGACACATTGTAGAGTATCTGGGAAAGGCCTCCTGAGGAAGTCACCTTTGAGTTATGATTTTTTTTTTTCTGAGTTGGAGTCTCACTCTGTCGCCCAGACTGGAGTGCAGCGGCCAC